GGAAGAGCCCAGCTCCCATAGACAGTCACGAATGCAAGCACCAGTCGAGACGACAGACGGCTGTGCAGTGGAACTCGGGAGACAGTGGCCCTCAACAAAAATCACAACTCACAAAGACAATGTTGCACTATACCCGGCGAGCCATCAAACCCCAGCGCGGTAACTACCGGGAAGCAGTCCGACTCGGGCGTCATCACTGGGATCCATACACCATAGCTGTCGCACAGTCACCGCGGCCCCCATATACCATAGCTGTCGCACAGTCACCACGGCCCCATAAGCCGTAGCTGTCGCACGGTCACCACGGCCCCATACACCATAGCTGTCGCACAGTCACCACGGTCCCATACACCATAGCTGTCGCACAGTCACCACGGTCCCATACACCATAGCCGTCGCGCAGTCACCACGGTCCCATACACCACAGCTGTCGCAGCCACAACGGCCCCATACACCATAGCTGTCGCACAGTCACCACGGCCCCACACACCATAGCTGTCGTACAGTCACCACAACCCCATACACCATAGCTGTCACACAGTCACCACGGCCCCATACACCATAGCCGTCGCAAAGTCACCACGGCCCCATACGCCATAGCTGTCACACAGTCACCACGGTCCCATACCCCATAGCCGTCGCACAGTCACCGCGGCCCCATACACCATAGCTGTCACACAGTCACCACGGTCCCCTACACCATAGCCGTCGCACAGTCACCACGGTCCCATACACCATAGCTGTCGCACAGTCACCACGGTCCCATACACCATAGCCGTCGCACAGTCACCACGGCTCCATACACCATAGCTGTCACACAGTCACCACGGTCCCCTACACCATAGCCGTCGCACAGTCACCACGGTCCCCTACACCATAGCTGTCGCACAGTCACCACGGTCCCATACACCATAGCTGTCGCACAGTCACCACGGTCCCATGCACCATAGCTGTCGCACAGTCACCACGGCCCCATACACCATAGCTGTCGCACAGTCACCACGGTCCCATACACCATAGCTGTCGCACAGTCACCACGGCCCCATACACCATAGCCGTCGCACAGTCACCACGGCCGTCACCGTCAGAGTGGCCTGCTGCCTCAGCAGCCATGGAAGGCATCGAGCAGACGACTGGCGCGGACGGCTCATCGTGGGGCCTGGCGGAGGACAGTCGGCAGATGCCGCCTGTGGTTTTCGCCAACGTCGCTGAATGACATGCCTGAAGGCACGCGCCAACATCGAAGCCAATATTCGACTTTCATCGCATGCGTATCGGGCTATCTAATGCAACATCGAGGCTTTCCGACCGCCGACCAAATGATACCGAGCACCTGGTATGTGCGCTCCACAACCGTGGCGCCCATCGGTGTGAAAGACCATTTGTCAGGCACCTCCGGCACCGCACTCCTTCGAACGCGGCATGTTCTCCACATCCCGTGCCCCCCTGACATGTCTGACATGACTGTCCATAAGTCCATATCACCATGGCAACGGGGCGTGCCGCCGCCAGTCCCTGGAAAAAATATGTAGCTCCTACAACCGGCACACGCACGTACGCACGCACACACGCACACAAAGACGCACTCCCACACCCACACACAAATACCATATATCCTCGTTTGCGCCTATAAATACGTATAACGAGCGACCCATGCGGCCCAGGCGGGTCACGTGGTGAGGCGACTGCGCTGCGTGCCCGAGCGCCACGTGGCCGCCGACGGCGTATCGATCTTACGGCCGTCGGGCGGCCGCTGCGCCAAAAACAGACCGCCATCACCAGCTCGTCGTCGCCTCGTCGTCGCCGTCACGTGCGTGTGGAGCCGCACCTCGCGGGAGAAGGCGAAGGAAGCCGTGCAGTCGGAGGCGCCCGGGGCGGGTCACGGCGGTTTCGAGGAAACGAAAGGTCACGGGCCGTAGGGAAAGATCACATGTCACATGAACGTGACAGATCGCAGGGCAGGAGCAGGGTCATGGCCAGCGGAAGTGTCATGGAGCAAGGGTCAGGGCCCCGGGTCACGGCGTGAGGTCCGGGGTCATCGGGCCGTGACGGATCGCGCGGAGCCATGAGTCGCTAGCAAAGGCTCGGGTCGCGGGCGGAAGGCGAGGCCTCGAGTCGCGCGGGAAGGTCACGGTCGCGGACACGTCTGGAGTCATACGAGTCGGCAAAGAGCGGGTTACAGACCGGCCGCCGGCCGCCCTCGTCCCCGGTCTGCGTCCTAGAGCGGCCGGGAGTCGAGAGACGACGGGAGTGTGTCGTGTGATGGCGGCGATCCCCAGCACGGTCCAGCGCTCGGCCGCGCCCAAGCCGACAAAGCCCACGTCGAGTCCGTCAAATCCGCCACACCGGGTCACGGTCCGGCGGTGAGGTCAACCCCCCCCCCGCCCCCCAGCCCCCGGCTGAGCGACCACCAGTCCGCAGCGGACGGCGCCGGCGAAGCGCGGCCAGCGGGCGCGTACAGCTCACAGCCCCCAGGACAAGCACCGGCCGACGGCGTGACACCGCGTGTCAGCTGGGGTCGGCCGCCGCCGCAGGTCAAGGTCAGAGCGCCCCGGCTCCGGCCGACGCCGAGCTCCGGTCACGCTGAGAGCTGCCGCCGGCCGGGCCACCCACCCGGCCCACTCACAGCTCGTCCGGCTCGTTCTTGATGTAGCCTATGATGCGCTGCAGGATGCTGCGCTGACCTGGCGGAGGCGACGGGTCAGCGGCGCCACACGCGGACGGGTGCCGGGACCGGGCTGAAGCTGAGCCGCGGCCGCTCGCGGACGGGTGCCGGGACCGGGCTGAAGCTGAGCCGCGGCCGCTCAAAGTTCGCAAACTCAGCGGCCCCGCCGCCGGTCGGTCCGCGCTGCGCATGGCACAGCTGGATCAGGAGGAGCGGAGCCCCGGAAAGCCGTGGCAGGGTGACGCAGCTGCTCGCCGCACGACGGCACCAGCGCGCCAGCAGCCATCCCCCCGCGGCGTCCGACGGCCGGGCCGCTCCGGTGTCAGTCAGCCCGGCCGCGCTCGGCGAGCCGCTGGGACAAGCTGACGGATGCGGCCCGCCCGGCAAGCCGCTGGGACCAACACACGGAGGCGGCCCGCTGGGACCAACACGCGGAGGCGGCCCGCCCGGCAGCCGCTGGGACCAACACACGGAGACGGACCGACAGCTGGTGAGCATCGGACTGCGCTGTCCGCTCACACAGCCGCGCTGCATCGCCGCGTGTGTCAACGGGGTCAAGCCCGGCCCGGCCCCTCGCGTCCCGTCCCGTTCCGCTCCTCGCCGCGGCCCTCCCCGCCGGCGGGGCCGCCGCACGGCTGCCCGTCGGCGCGCCGGCCCCGCCGCTCGCGGCGTCAGCGGGAGTCTAATGGCCGGCGGGCAGCGGTGACCTTGAGCTGTGTGTCAAAGTCAGTGGTGCGGCCGGCAGATAACGAGCGCTCCGGCCCCTCCGGCCGGCGACCAATCGGAGCGCGCGGCACAGCGGCGGCCGTGCAGGGGGCGCGCCGGTGGAGGGGAGATGCAGAGGCGCGGGGCATGGAGGCAGAGCGGCGCCGGTCGCAGAGTGGATGTTGAACGGTCAGAACCAGGGCCGCGCAGGCACGGAGGAGAGAGGCAGGAGTGGGGAGGCCGACAGGGAAATTGTGAGGTACATGGAGGTCTTCAGGACGAAGGCGCAAAAGACGGCGGTTGAAGAGGTGGGCACATGGGTCCACACCTTTGGAATATGCATATAAGTAAATCAATACATTAAGATATAGATGCATATTAAACGAAACCAAAGGAACGTAACGGACGCTTGTTGCGCCAGTATTTACGGCAATCAGCGTCCACCGCAGACCACGCTATCGAAGTATGAGGGGCTGCCCCGTGTACATATGCATAATATATATATATATATATATATATATATATATATATATATATATATATATGTACACATATACATATATCTGTATATTAATGTTTATACATACGTATGCATATCTATGCACATATCACCCAAAGCGATCTGTTAAAACTGTTGAGGTACATTCAGCATGAACCGGAGAAGCTTCCCACTCCCCTCGTCAGCTCATTGCCCGCTGGTCTGAACCGCAACTTGCATCTCGACAACGAATTCGCCATTGGTGTTGTGCCTGAAAAGCAGCAGTGTTGAGGCAGCCATCCCGGCTCCTTTGCTGATGGTCTCGTCTAATGTCTGCGTTCCATGAGGCGGGTCAGGTGAGCGCCCCGGTTCTGCGTGGAATGTTACGCACTTGAAGCGGACTGTCTTTCGCATGATCCCGGGCTTGAAAGGCAGCGCGCGAGGGCGCATCTAAAAAACGGGCTGAACCACGCCCACGTTGCGGCCCAACGGGCCCAACGGGCGGGAGTGGGCGTAGTGGCCGAGACGTTGGTGCGTCGGACTCCCACATGGGGGAGGGAGGCCGTGTTCGAATCCCGTTGCGTCCTGGGCCCTTAGCGCTAACATGGCCAACGCAGCCGCTGGCGCTTCATAAAAGGAGACGTGGCAACGTGCATCATGTTGTCGTGACAGAAACTGACAGTAACTGGCGCCCCAGCTCGTACAGCCATTGTTGGCAGCGGAGATATCTAACGATGCTTCCACCGCCCTGTGTTACGAGACCCGGGCGTCTTCGCCGCGCTATTGGCTGCGAGGGAAGGCATTCCCGGTGAGCAGCGCTGGGCGACGCCGGCCCATTGTGTCTGTTGTCGTCCAATGCTCCGCCGACACTCATCAGTGAAGGGGTTTTCACCTCCGCCGCGAGAAATGGCTATTCAAGTGCCGCCGGTACCTGTCCCCTGTTCTGCGAACGCCACTGGTCAACAGCGGTCCACGTTCCACCCGTGATCTCGTGCGTGGACCCGGCGTGTCGTCCCTTCAGCCCGCTCCACCGACGTCCCGCCACCCCGACCCGCCTCGTCCACCCGGCGGCGCCGCTGCCCGGCACTCCCCGCCCCCGCCGCCGCCTCCCCGTGCCTCCCCCCTCCCCCACACCCGCCAGCGTCGCCTTACCTGCCATCGGAGCCGCGTGGTCGAGCTCGGCGGCCGGCGCGGCCGCCAGACCAGACGGCGGCGTCTGTGACGTGTCGTTAGAGTTGAGCGAGTCCTCGTCAGCGGTGGGCGTCGACTTGAGGCTCAGCGCGTGTAGCGGCGGCAGGATGATGCTGCCGGCGGCGGGCGGAGGATCAGAGACAGGCCCGCGGCAGGTCACGGACAGGGACGTAACACGGCAGCACACCGCAGCTTCAGGCACTCGTCAGCTTCACGGCAGCTTCAGGCACTCGTCCTGGCCGCCTCTCAGCTGGTCGAGGGCTTGAGAAGCTGAGCGTCAGCAAGATGTCATGCTCGGCGAGCAATGCAGTGGACTGCGATACCGAAAGAGTTGAAGAAAAATATGCATCGTATTGGAGGGAATTCTACACTACTCCTGATCCCAGTTCGGACGAGACGAGAGGAACGAAACAGGACGAAACGAGACAGGACGAATCTAGTCGGCTCCACCTGAACCCCTAACTGGATGCCTTGTCTGAAGTTGACACACGACCCATTCGCTACGCTGCGCCGCGCACAGAGCAGCGACTCGAGGCGGTCTCGTCGCGGCCGCCAGCTGACCACCACCGGCAATGCTCGCCTCGCCTCCCCACGGCCGCCTCGCTCGCCACCAGCCGCCAGCGCCGGCCGATTCTCAGAACAGGAAGCCGCCCAGCTGCGGCCAGCGACGTCCCCACGGGCGGCACAGTCCCGGCTCGGCACCGACGTCCGTGCCGGAAGCCTCCGAGGAGGTCAGAGGGGACGCGGCAGGCACAGGGCGCAGGATGGCTGAAAAGGTGGCCGGGATTCGACGCCGGCCGGCTCACGGTGGTCAGCAACAAAACACGGCAGCACACGGCGAAGCTCCAGCAGCGCGGCATGTGCCGTCGGGACGAGGTGGACTCCTGCCCGACGCGGGACAGTACAGTACCCAGCGCAGCAACGTCGAGGTGGACTCCTGCCCGACGCGGGACAATACGGTGCCCAGCGCAGCAACGTCGAGGTGGACTCCTGCCCGACGCGGGACAATACGGTACCCAGCGCAGCAACGTCGAGGTGGACTCCTGCCCGACGCGGGACAATACGGTACCCAGCGCAGCAACGTCGAGGTGGACTCCTGCCCGACGCGGGACAATACGGTACCCAGCGCAGCAACGTCGAGGTGGACTCCTGCCCGACGCGGGACAATACGGTACCCAGCGCAGCAACGTCGAGGTGGACTCCTGCCCGACGCGGGACAATACGGTACCCAGCGCAGCAACGTCGAGGTGGACTCCTGCCCGACTCAGGACAATACAGTACCCAGCGCAGCAACGTATCCGCGGAGGCGGGCTCATCGCAGCGCCTGACCCACAGCGACAGCCTCCGGCAGGCCACACCACGGGCCGTCTGCTGTAGGGAGTGCCCGAGCGCGGCTCGCGGTCCGGTGCAGCCGGCGCCAGGAGCCCCGTCACAGCCGGACGAGACGCCGGGCCGCTCGCTGGTGGCCAGCAGAACATGTCTCCATACCGGCAACACAGGCATGCGGCAGCACGTCCCGAGCTATCTGTTCTGCGCCCTTCCGTTGGAGCGACAAGGACGATGAGACGGTTACCTAAGTCGGTGATGTGGTGTTTCCTGTGGTGTGGTACTCTTGTAATATATATATATATATATATATATATATATATATATATATATATATATATATACATCGCGGCAGCGGTTTCCGCGCACATTCATTTTTTCCTATATATCTAGTCCGGATCGTGCAGTACTTGGCGCCGCCAGCGCGATGGCAGCCGCACTCCAATCAGCCCAGAGTATGGGCGGGGATCGGCATGCGATTCAAGAAATCTCCACATCGTGGCTTTTCCAGTTCTCGTAGCATAACGGACAATGCAGAACACACGAGCACAAGCAACGTTAAATAGCCCAGCCCGGCCCAGCATCGCGCCACAACAAACCCGCCAGCCCGCACGGAAATGCCTGCGTGACGTCACGGCCCCCTGGCATCTGGCGTCAGGCGGTTGCATGCACTGGCGGCTCTACACACGGGTGATACGGACGGGCTACGTGTGGAAGGGGCGGGGTGGGGGAAGGGGACTCTGGCACATGCGACTGGCTCGGAACGGCGCGTCTCAGCACCAGGGCAGTAGACACAATTTGCGGGCGTTTGGCGACCTTAGCAGTTGGCTGATAGGAAGTGTGCCGCGTTTGGAATTCGACTCGTCTATATTACGCCAACGAAGTGTTTTTATCGCGCCCGGGACCTGCTGTAATTTCTGGGTCATATGCAGCGATCATTCTGGCCGCAAACTGAATGCTTTTTCATTCTGTTTCGTGTTTGTGAGCGCACCCCCCCCCCCCCCTTTCCCCGATACTAAGCGGCGGCTTCAAATGTGGTGACGGCCCGAGCCTTACATGCTATTTACATCGGCTGATAATGCATTGAAGAACAACGTCCACTACGTCCTATGTGATCAGGTACATGTAGGATGCTCTGGGTCGGGTAAGTTTCCAGGCCACGTGTGCTCATCCCAGGTCTCAGAAAACAAGCGGTTTGCCCAAATTTGCGGACATGGCTGTCCGTCTCGTGGCGCAGGCCCGGTCGGCAGCGCACCGGTCGCCTACGGCGGTCCGGCGCCTTACACCCCCTCCACGGCCCCTGCGGATCGATCCTGGTCCCGCCGCGAGCCCGACACCGCACCGCGGGGGCGGCCGGACGGCGGCGGCCGGCCACGCCTGTCACGACTGGGGCGCTCGGGCGGCCGCCACGCCACGAACGGCGGCCGGAACGACCCGGGGGATGGACCAACAGCAGCAGCGCCCGCCCGAGCAAGCTACCGGTGGGACGCTGTCACGGTTGTCAGATCGTTGATCAACACAGGAGGTACCGCCAGATCTCACCCTGGTGAAAACGGACCTGTACAGGCTCCCATGATGAACGCAGGCCCTAAAGCCTTTCGGTGCGAACCCGGACTGCCCAGACCACTCCGGTGCTTATGGACGCGCCCCTCAGGTCCGGAGCGAGCCGAGAGCACCGCCACCGCAGCCGGGGCCAACGCAAAGGGCGGGACAGGCTGGGAAACAAACTGGAAGGATCTAAATCACGCGCCAACGGCCGCCGCGCCTGCCGCGGGAAATGCCAGGGTAAACAGATACCAGATGATGAAAGAGCGTGGCAAAACCCTTAATCTAAGCGTGCCACGGTGTCTGCGGGATGCGGCTTCGAACGAAAGCCAGGATGTTTCATCATGGTCCTTGCATCAGGTTTCCTTTTTTCGTCTCCGTTTCGCCCCTCCCGGGTATCTGACGCACATTTTCGTGGGAGGAAGGGCGGGGGGGGGGCCGACTTTACAGAGAAGGCTTCACCACAGTCCCCGTTGAGAGGACGGCCACATCTAACCAACCGCAGGAGGGCGTTCAGCGGACACCCTGGCCACCAGCAATGCGGACTCCCGGCCGGGACGCAGGGAGCGGCGCTCACTCGCTGTGATGGTCGTCTTCGGCCGGCTCCGGACTGGGCCCGCCGCTGTGACCGTTGGTGCCGTTGGTGTGTGCCGGGCTCGAACCAGTCGACATGGGCTGCTCCGGCTCCGGCTCCGGCTCGGGCGCTGGCTCGGGCGCTTGCTCTGGCCCGCTTGGTGGGGCAGCGTTCGCCGCGTTCATCTCCGACTCGGTGGGAGCGGCCTGAGGGCACGAGACGGTCGAGTCAGCGGGAGCCGCGCTCGCCTGATAGTGGGCAGGAGCGGGAGTCACGTTCATTTCAAACTCATTGGGAATCTACTGGGGACACCGGCCGAGTCGGAAGGGTCATGGGAGTCAGCGGGAGTCACGCTCACGTGAGACCCGGCGGGGAGGCCTGTGCACTCAGTCGGCGGCATCAGCGCGGTTGCTATTTGGCTCCGTTTCCGTGAGGCGGTATGCGACCGCAAGCGCCGCTGGAAGCACCGGAAACAGCACCGTTCTGCTGCACAGGACCGCTCAATGCATTTCCACAGAAAAGCTCATTCCGCAGCCAGCGCGCCACGCTAAGCCCAATCAACGACCCAACAACGCCACCACCGGTCGTGGCGGCTTAAGTTCAGGCTGTGCATCACTCATCAGGGTAGAATCCACTGCGGACGAGACCGGCAGAGCGGCGCCGCGTCGGCGCTGGCGCTGGCGCCGGGGTCTGTCGTGACTCAGCGCCCACCTGAGGGGCAGCTCGCCCCTCCGTGTGATTCAGCCGCGCCCAGCCCCACCCCCGCCCGCCAGCGGAGGGCGCGCCGCTCCACCGACGCCGCCTGACAGGAACATCCACAGCCGTGGCGAGCGTCTAGAAAAGCGTGACGCCGCGCGCCACAGCGCGCCGCTCGGCCGTGGTCTACCATCTCATCGGCGGCAAAACCAGCCATAATACATGTCCAATCAGTGCGGTGGCCAGCTGCCGGCATCGTGTCCCAGTCCGCCGCACCAGACCAGCCCAGGCCAGGCCAGGCCCAGGCCCCGAGGTCCTGGTCTACCGCCACGGCACCAGCGTACACTGCTCCCCCCCCCCCCCGCCCCGGAGCGCACCAGCGACTGTCGGTCACCAGTCACGTCCCCAAGGACCAGTCCCACCAGACGCGAGTCGCCTCTTAGCGCGGACACACGCGCCAGCCGGAGCTGGCAGCGTTCGGAGAAGGCGCCAGACCGAGTCAGAAACAGCTGACCGGCCCGAGCCACCTCTCGGACGAAGAGCCGTACCATCCAGCGGCGGCGGCGTGCCCGACGACAGGGGGGGGGGGGGGGAGGAGGCTACCTCTCCCGGAACGCCCGGCAGCCAGCCACGGCGGTGGGAGCGGACGCCTGCAGAGCGGGCCGGCCGGAACTAAAGTCGGCGGAGCGCCGGGGCCAGCACGCCCTCGGCTCCCACCGACCCCGGCCGCGGGCGGCTGGGGCGCGCTCCTCCGCCACAAGTTGGCCGACGCGGCCCGGCGCCGCGCGTCATCAGACTCTCCCGGATCCCCCGACCGCCGGCGTCGCCAACGGGCGGCGCGCCGAGCCCCGGCGTCACTCCTGCCGGCTCACGGACCACCAGTCCGACGGCCGCGGACGAGCGAGCGGACGCCGGACGGCGCACAGAGCTCGCGACTTCATCCCGCGGTGCCGCTTCGGTGCACGCAGCAACAGTAACGCGACTCAGCTCCCGGCGTCAAACGGACGGCCCTGGCCCCCACCCCCATCCCTCTGCCTGGAGAGCCCCGGGGTCACGGCACCACAGCGGTGGGCGGCGGCGCCAGCCGTCCCCGCACGAGACGAACGTGGACCGGTCGACGGTCGCCGGCCGGGCCCGGCCGTTCGCACGGCGTCGTTAGGGTCGCACGGCGCACCTTGAAGTGTCACGGCTATTTTGGACGGCCTGAAGCACAGGGCCACTTGGGTGGCGTGCTGCGAACACTTGGCCCTCCAAACAAGGCACCATTCAGGACGACAGATGGCCTTCGTTTGCTAACAAACTCCGCTGCTCCATCGCGCGGTGAGACAGTTTTGTCGGTTATCGACGGCTTTAGCATATAGCCTCTGGGACCTTCAGGGCGATGCAGTATAACTGTACGCGGGTAACCCTTTCACATAAGCCTAGTGTGAGTGTTCAAACAAAGTCAAAGCTAGGGACGGCTGTACAGCAACAGCCAACGCAAGGATTTGGGTGGCCCGCAACAGTCACTACATTGAACAGTGCATGACGAAAGTTACGAAAATAGCCCGAACATCCTAAACAGGCCTGTCATACTAGAATGTCCGGCCTTTCCGGCCACCACCTGCGTCAGCACGCCCACAACATAGCACGGCAGCGCGCCTTTTGTCGCTATCCGTTCCGCGGGGGACGCCGGCCGGGTCCCGCTCCGCGCTGGCCGCCTCAGACGCGGGCCACCCCGCCGGCCTCGACTCAGCAACCGCTCCCCAGTCGCAGCAGCGTGCCGAACGGAGCGCTGCTGCGCCGCTGGCCCGGCGCCGCGCACCGGGCTCGTGTTTGCAGACTCGCGCTGCAGCGGCGGGTGCCGACGCGTCTCGGTTAACTCGGCGATAGCGGCCGCCCAAACAGGAGCCACGTGCCCGGGACGCGGCTCATAAACAAGGCCGGTCAGCAGCCCGGCGCTCGGGGCGGCGTTCAGGGACGGCAGTGGGCGGGCGGAGGCCGGCGGTCGGCGGGGTCCCCGGCCGGGTCACAGCTGACGCGCTCTGGCTGCCATGGGTGCATGGCAGGATGAACGCGTGCAGCACGTGGAGACCCGCGCGTGTTCTGTGGCGAGTGCTGGATGGCGGTGGTCGTTGGGAAGCAGTGCTGAGTTCGGAGAGAGTGTGACGTCACAGATCACCCCAGGCCCCAAGCCCCCCACGCTCAGAGGTGTGGGTTAGGTCACAAGGCACCACCGGCAGGCACTACTGACGCCAGGCTGGCAGGATAGCATGGAACACCAGCGAATGCGAATATGCCCAGCATGGAGCACCATGTTGCCAGCGAAAGCCCGTGACATACCAGAGGCAGGTTCATCACCGGATCACAACTGCAGACAGCCAACCCGACACACCCAGGCAAGACAACGATACTGGGCAGAGGGCCGACAAACCTCGAGAAGTCGGAGAAGATAGCCGACAGAGCCCGAGGAGGCAGGGATAGAGGGTCGACAGAGCCCAAGAAGTCGCGGAAGAGAGCCGATAATGCTCCAGAAGGCAGGGCAGAGGGCCGACAGAGCCTCATAGGGCAGACCATAAAGCCAACAGAGCCCGAGAAGGAAGGCTAGAGGGTCGACAGAATCCCAGAAGGCGGGACAGGGAAACAACAGAGCCCGAGAACGAGGGAAGAGAGCCAACAGACCCGAGCAGAGCCGTCGCAGTGCCACTAACCTCATCCTCCCCCTCCAAGCCCTCCGTCTGTGGAACCGTCGAACGCGTCAGCTCTCTATCTCACTCTCTCCACCACACAGCGCCACACACACCACAAACACACCACACCCACACACACGCCGCGGGCTGGGTTGCCGCCACCAGACTGGTTGGCAGCACATGGGTGAACCGGCATCGAGGCACGCGGCATCTATCAGCTTCCTGTCTGAACGAGCAGATGGGAGCCGCACCAGTCCCACTATGGAACGATTTCCACTCCTACGGGCATTAATATTCAGCCAAACGGCAGTATCTGCTTGTTGCCAACGAGCGTAAGAGACAGGACAGGCCTACGATCGGAAGGGTCAAGATGAGATAATTGAAGGTTCGTGAAGCAAAACCGAAATGGGTCTCAGCTTCTCCTATGGAGTCATCACCAAGTCACTACCCATGCCTGCGAGGCAATGTCAAGTCAACCAATAATATCGCCACTCCGCGCCATTCAGCGCAGCACACAAGTGAGCGCTGGTGACGCTCCGCTCCAGCGAAGTCCAACGCAGGGAACCAGCACCGCCCGCCAGCGACCAAGCTTCCGGTCGAGATCACGGGGTCAGCTCGTGAAAACACGGCTCCCAACCTGAGCCACAGAAACAGCGACAGGCTCACCGGCAGCCTTGTGGAGGGTCAGCCCAAACCGCACACCATCAGGGCGGGCCAGCAAGCCGACGGTTCCGAACCGCGAAACGCCGGACGGAGATCAAAACCATTATCCCGGCGTACCGCCTGTCGCCATCTCGCACCATCGTTCCCCTCCCCCCGGCGTCTAGAGGCGGATTCCTTTGACACCCGGTCCCTCTCCAGCCGGCGCCGGCGCCGGCGCCGCTACCGCTACCGTCACGTCACGTCACCGCACCCACCTTCTCCTGGGCGTTGTTGTTGCGCGTGCGGCTCATGATCTCGGCCACGCGGCTGCGGCGCTGTTTGCGCTCCGCCTCTTCCTGGCGCAGCTTCTCGGCGGCCGCCAGCCGAGCACGCTCCGCCTCCTCGCGCGCGGCCGCCTCCTCCAGCTCGCGCTGGCGCCGCTGCTGCTCCTCCTCCAGCCGCGCCTGCTCCTCACGGGCGCGCTGCTCCTCCGCCTCCTGAGGAGGCCGCGTGCCTCGTCAGGCTCACACCCTCGCTGCGACAGCGCGCACGCCCGACAACAGCCTGTCCTGTCAGCTGTCACACTTACTGGGCTTCCGTTTCAGAGCAGTGGCCGGCTCCCGCTCGGTCGGGGTCACAGAGCCCAGCGTTACGCGCGGTCGGTGAGAAAGCAGGTCGGTTCACGTACACTTAATTCTCGTCCATACGGTTCGATAACATCAAGTTCGCCAAGTGGCACCGAGCTGCCGCCACCCGGCGCCAGGCCGTCAGCCCGCCGCACCTGGATGGCGCGCTGGAGCCGCTCCTGCTCGGCGCGGCCGGCCTCCTCCATCAGCCGCTCCTGCTCCTCCATCTCGCGCCGGTGCTGCTCCTCCTCCAGCCGCAGCCGCTCCTGCTCCTGAAGTCGCTCTTGCTCCAGTCGCTGGCGCTCCAGCTCCGCCTGGCGGTCGGCCTCCTCCCTGGCGCGGCGTCGCTTCTCGGCCAGCGCGGCGCGCGCGGCCGCCTCACTCTCGTAGCCGGCCCGGCGCCGCTCTCCCGGCGTGCCGGCGGCGTCTGCCGGTCAGGTCGGGTCAGGTCAGGTCAGGTCAGGGCAGGTCAGGGTAGGTCAGGGAACGCCAGGGCAGGGAAGGGCAGGGCAGGGCAGATCACGGCAGATCTCGCTCTCGCACCCGAACGGTGAGCGCAATTCCAACGTACCAGCGACGTCCGCCGGGGAAACCAGGTCAGGGCAGGCCTTTCTATCGTACCGGCCACACTACCCGGGGGGTAGGGGTGGGTTCCGCCCGTCGGCTCAATGTAGCAAGAAACAGTCGGCACGTACGCACCAGATTTCTGACCTTGCTCACGCGCGTAGCGCAAGAAGTGGTTGCGTCAGAATTTCTTTTGTAATCGATCACTTGCCAAAACAAGGGCTCGTTGGAGGGTGACCGGGTCGACGATCATGATGAAAATAATTCGGGCTTGCTTGTCAGGCGTCACCAACGACGCTACCTTTCTCCGCACAGTGCGATGAGTGGTTGCTTCAGCACGTCTGTCCCTCCCCTCCAATGGAATGTCCCGGTGAAGAGCCGGCGGTAGCGCCAGGAAAACGAAGGCAGCCCCGCGGCCGTGCTGTTCAGCGCTCTCAGGGACCGTGACGACACTCGGGGGTTTGGTTCGGCACCGCGGGGGTCACGGCCACCGAAAGCTCGACGGTGAAATGATTCAATGCCACATGGTGAAATAAGCTTAAGGTTCTTCCATTTCGAGGAAATCTGCAATCGCCACGGCGTCAGCACGACACGCTGTCACTAATCCGCCGGCTTGTTTCCTCTACGTAGTACTGCAAGACTGCGCCAGTACCACATCGTGCATGCAAACGTGGAACACTGGTTAATACGACGTCCACTACTCACTGTTCCCTCGATCACGTTATTCGGTTGTCGCCAGACCACGAAAGTTCGCAATTTGATGACAAAGCAAGATTGCGGTAATGCACGCCGCTAATAGAGATCAACTTCTGATTCGTCTCAGCGACATCCTGGAGCTGTTAGCTGCTAGCGCAGCCAACCTCATGGCCTCTTCCGCATGTCAGGATTAGCGCCCGTAGCTGGGGAATCTCTCGCGCGACCCCGCAGCCATCTCCGGAGGGATCACGCAGACCGACTCTACCAGCTCAACCCTCGCGGACCAGTGCAGTACTCAAACGTCAGACTGCCCCAGCCCTGTCCCGCCTCGCCCCCGCCCCCGCCCCCGCCGGCCGCTCCCGGGGCGGGGCGCTCACCAGGGGTCTCGTCGGCGGGCGGCGCCGGCCGCGGCGTGGCCGGCTCCACGGTGACGGTGGGTACGGCACGCGGCGGAGAGGCGTCCCGCGGCTCCTCGGGCGGGGCCGTGCCGTCCGCCTCGGCCACCGGCTCCGCGGCCGCCTCTGCAGACGGTGGCGCCACCTCGGGCGTCGGCTCCGGGACCACCTCTGCCGACGGTGGCGCCACCTCTACCGCCGGCACAGGGGCCGGCTCCGCAGGCGGTGGCGCCACCTCGGCCGGCACCGGCTCTGGTTTCGCCTCAGGCCGCGCCTCCGCCGGCTGGGGCGTGCTGGATTTGGAACGCTGCTTCTGGAACGTCAGAAGACGTCCTCTTCACTCCATTGCAGCGGCACACCCAGCCATTTCCTATTACAGAAACGCGTGAGATATGTCCATTTACCACGCAATACAGAGCTCGACCTCACCCTCCACATAGCCCGTCCCATAGGCGTACAAAGGCAGGCAGACCAATGACGTAACGCACCAACTCAGAGGTACGTTTTCATCAGGTGCGTGTGGCACCCCAGCTACCGAGCGTAAGCAGTCCGGCCACGGACTCTCCGCACTGGATATTAACAACAACATGCAGAGTACGCTACCGAGGGCTACGACAGCATCACAACCGTTCGGAATATTTCATATGAAGCAAAGTTCCTCGTTATTGCACCAATGCACGCGTTGTTTCCCATTCAGAACAGCCAAAGCTACATTTACGCCAGCGCCAACACTTCGCTCATCTCATCACTGTTTGCACGACCGTCAGTTTGTCGGAGATGTTGTCCTGTAATACTGCGGTCACTGTAGGGTGCACTCAGTCACTGGCGGAGACACTCGGTCACTGGCGGGTACACTCAGTCACTGGCGGGTGCACTCAGTACACTCAGTCACTGGCGGGCGCACTCGGTACACTCAGTCACTGGCGGGTACACTCAGTCACTGGCGGATGCACTCAGTACACTCAGTCACTGGCGGGCGCACTCAGTACACTCAGTCACTGGCGGGTGCACTCAATACACTCAGTCACTGGCGGGCGCACTCGGTACACTCAGTCACTGGCGGGTACACTCAGTCACTTGCTGGTACACTCAGTCACCGGCGAGAACACTCGGTTACTGGCGGGTATTCAGCACCGAGTCATTGTAGGTACACTCAGCACTGCTACTGCGAGTGCACCTTGTATACTCAGCCCTTGGTGGGTACACTCTGTTACTGGCAGGTACATTCAGACACTGGCGGGTACACTCAGTCAATGCAGGTACACTGCACGGCGTGCGCCGCTGTCGGCCGCCGAGTCCCGTTCTCACCTTCTTCCTTGCGTCGTCCGCCTTCACCTGCGCCGGCGTTCTGCGCGCGGCGGCGGCAGCGGCGGTGGCGGCGGCGCCGGCGGGTCGGCGCGGCTCGGTAGACGGCGCGCTGGCCGGCAGCGGTCGGCGCGGCGTCGACGCACTGCTGACCCGGCCCGGGGTCCGCGACGCTGCCGTCAGCGACACACCACGTCACGTCACGTCACGCGGGGCAGGCCAGGTCAGGCGGAAGGCCCGTCAGGTCACGTGGAGGGCCCGTCTGGCCAGGCGGAGGGCCCGTCAGGTCAGGCACGCCAGCGTCAGGCCATGGACAAGGTTTCTCCGGTCAGGTACGAAGGAGGCCTGGCTCCACACAGAAGACCACGAACAGATCAGCGACACAGCAGGTCAAGTATGCCAGCCTGCAGCTCACAGGTCACAAAGAACGGGTTCACGAGAAGTCAGAGAATCACAGCCAGGCACGGCTCCTAACAGGCAAGCTACGTGCCATGAGACGCAAGGCAGCCACGGTCCGCGGTGTGACCGGTCGGTCAGACACAGGACGCATAAGAGGAGACACTGGACATCAGTAGTAGACACAGGTCAGACGCCAGACCTTGCCGCCACAAGCAGCGGGATTCCACAGACCGCGCCGCACGCGACTGGGGTCAGTGCAGTCGCGCGTGGACGGGGACAGGCGCTGTTAATAGCACATGTACGGCGGCACATCAACGAAACAATATGCACGCTGCGGAACCCAAGCAAATCAGAGTAAAACCATGTGCGTGATATTCAGAGCATACTCGGTACAAAAACAAACTGCAAAATGGGCGGCGTTATGTGCACTGTACACCGAGCCACTAATACAGCCCAGACCAAGCAGGTTGAAGCCTGCATGAGCCACTGCTGATGCTCATCTACCCTGTCGCAGAGAACGCGTCGAGTCTTCACGTAGTGGCTGCACTAGTTGGCTCGCCCTCCCAGGCGGCAATGCGCCCATCGAGCTTCACATTTTCCGAGGCTATAGCCGACAACGTTACGTCGTCATACCGGTGTGTGATACTGCTATGCGCAGTTTCGTCTGCTCCACATCGCAAGGATATTATGGCGACTTACTTCCGGCTGACTTAACTTCCGACGAATTAATTTGATAAGCTGCACGCGGCGCCGCCAGGATGGGGGAACTGCACCGTTCCAAAGCTATCTGCCTTGAGTTTCCGGCAAGCACTGCTTGAGGATATGATCCGCGTGGATATACCTCGAGAAAATGAGGGGGGATATCCCTCCTCTACCAATAGCACCGTCCAACTCCACAAACGACAAAGAGCCACGCGCCTACACTGTTCCTGTTCACTCTCCGGCGCACTCTGACGGGGGCTCTGGCGGCGCACGGCTCTGCGCGCTCGCCGCCGCACTGGGAGCCGGCGCCATCGCCGGCACCCCACCGGCGCGCGGCCACCGGTCCGGCCGTACCTTCCGCATCGGTCCTGTCGGTCGCCGGGCGGGACGGCAGGCCGGCGATGCTGACCGGCCGCTGGCGACGCGGCGACGCCCGCGACCGCAGCGCCACGCCGCGGCCGCCGGCGGCGGCGCCGCTCTGCTGAGAGAGTGCCGAGGACGGCCGGGAGGAGACGCCACCGGCGCCTGTCGGCCGGGCGCGGCGAGCGTTACAGCCGGCGGCGCCGGGTACAGGTCCCATCGAGCGCTGGCGCGCCGGGGACGGACAAGCTACGAGCGAGCGGCGCAGGGGCAGGGAGCGCCACACCGGACGGGGGTTGGAAGGGGAGGGAGCAGACTGAGAGAGGAGAGAGCCACAGAAGAAATTAGGACAATAACTCAGCGAGAAGCAGACACGCGGAGGCCAACAAACACATCAAGTTACAGCTAATCCCAACAATAAGTAACCGGGTAAGAACAATGAAACAAAGATAGGAGAACAACTACAAAACAAGGACAATACCAACCGCAAATACATCAATTTAACCGAGAACCCAGCCCAAAAGAGCAACAATGACAGCGCGGCGGAAGAGGTTCCAGGACACACGGAGTCAGTCCCAAGCCGCCATTTCTGGAAGCACAACCCTTCACGCATCACACCAACACGGAGTCACCAGCTCACGCCATCAGTAGACACATCTGCACATCCTCAAACGACAGCAAGTGTCCAAGGGCGTTCGTACGCGGCACAACAAGTGTTTCAACAGTAACTACAGACAATGAAAAGCTATGTGAGGCCCAATAAAGTCACTTGTGCGCGCCTGCTCGATATTCATTCGCCAGGCATAAGATCTGGCTGTGAATAAAATCCATATACAATATTATACGCGGTTCTGAACCAAAGGCCATACATCCATCGGATGTTAATATTTTAACGCCCTCAAAGAAGCAAAGCGCGTCGTGCGACTGGTTATGGACCGCACTCAGTCAGTGCCAGTCCGTCGGCAGACCGATGAGAGGCCATTTCGCGGAGCTCGGGCATGCTTTCACCCCCGGACGAAAGCCACTCAGCAAACAAACCATCGCCCGGCACGATGCACCGATGCAAGCATGACTCGGCATGGTAATACGGCGCAGTCCCTGTGTGACTCATGCCACCGGCGACCATATTACATTCAGTCCATGCACGTGGCAGCGGCGTGGCCACGCCACCGGCCCGGGGATGCAGTTCAAGTCAGTGGTGCGCATGCCATGCCGTCCAGCCGGACAGCCCAGCACCGGAGGCGACCGGGGCGGCGCGCGCGAGCGCGGGCCGCGCCCCGACCCAAACCAGGTGAGCGGGACAAGCCGGCGCGGCGGCGCGTGTTAGGGCGGCGCCGTTACCTGGACAGGTGGGGGCGGCCGGCGCCGAGCGCCGGACCTCCGGCGGCGCCGGCGGGGCCGGAGACGCGCGCTGTGTGTCTGTGTCTGGCGTGACTGTATGTAACGCGTGGCGATACTCGCCGGGCACGTGGGGGTGACGTCCGGCAGCCGGGCTGCGTTGGGCCTCGCGTTGTGAAACGGCTCGCACTCACTTACCCAGCAGGCATCCCAAAACGGCCCCGAACATAAAACGTAACGCTACCGACCGGAACCTAGGCATATTTACAGGCAGATACATCTCTCAGTGAACAGCCAACCATAAACACTATGTCCTGAGATGCTCCCTTTACAACCGACACACCAGAACGTCCGACGAAACCCTGCTCACCTCCCGCGAATACACAAGTGGCCGCCGGCGGCCCACACAGCCCACCGTGCGGCCGGGTCGGCCCCGTGTGTGCGGTGGCAGTGTGCGCGCACGACGCGGCTACTCACCGAGGGCGGCCGTGGAGCCGCGCTCGCGCGCGGCGCGGCGCAGCAGCATGGCCCGCGTGGGCCGCGGCGCCGGCCCCGACGCCAGGTGGCTTAGGCTCTGGGACATGCGTTTAGCCGGCGGCGGCTGCAGCGTGCTCTCGGGCGGCGGGCGGCGCGCCGGCGGTCGCGGCCTCGCCACCTGGTCCAGCCGGCTCAGCGAGACGGCTTTACCTGGCGAGCGGCGGCGCGGCGGCGGCGGGTCGCGGAACGAGCCGCCCGGCACGGTCGGCATCAGGTCGGAGCGGTGGCGGCGCGCCGACGGCTCCTCTGCAGCAGCGGGCGTCCGAGCGACGGGTTAGGCGGGCGACGACGGTGGTGACGGCGGCACAGGCGCAGTGGCCGGCCGACGGTCCCGCGGCGCAGGCGCCGGTCGCGCGTCACTGGCCACCGTCGACCACACACTGTTCAGGCGCCGCGTTCACGGAGCACGCACGGGTCGTCGTCGCCTCTTTCGGCGCGGACATGAGTCATTGATTGCCGTTAAAGTCCAGTCAACGCGTCGTCCCCCCGGGCTTAACAGTCGATAATCCCCCCCCCCCCCGGCACGCCAGTCGATAACACAGTCAGTCCAAAACACGACAGATAAGTCAAACATGCAGCACGGATGCACTTTCGTCCTGTCCCATGGTCATGAACTGGCAAAAGCACATGGCCATGGGACCGGTCCCACGCTATCCGCCTTTACCGGCCCACTGCCATGCGGCCGGAGCCGCTAATGCGGATGCATAGAGCGCCACCCAAGACAAGGGAGGGCAGTCTTCCAGGGCCCCCTCAGTCCTTCAACGCCTGCACTGTCCCTCAAAACCCCTGAGGGGCATCGCCATCCTGCTCGTCACTGTTCGGCACCACCACAAACGCCGACGATTTTCATCAGCCATGGTCAGCTCGGCTCGACATGCTCCGCCGGGCGTCCTCGCCACCTGCTCACTGACACACACACGTCATCACCCGCTGGCGGGCCCACCGCCAGCCCACCAGACGCACGTGGCACGCAGCGCACGCTTAGCACGAGAGGCCAGAGCCCGGCGGCTGACTGTCGGCCGCCACGGTGGCGCCAGGACAGGCCCGCCGGCTCGCCGTGTCCCTGGTCGGGGCTGGCGGCCGTCGGTTCGTCCGGGCAACGAACCGCGCGGACGGCGCCTGGCCAGCCCCGGCGTGACGCGGGCCGCCGGTCAGAGGACGGATAGAGCAGGGACACGGCCGCAGCTCATCCCGCGCGGACCCCAGCCGGTCGCTCCGCTGCTGTCTGTGACGGACGGCAGCGGAGGACACAAACCGAAGAAGCCAAACACACGGCCGAATACTAACGAGGCAAAACGGACGAAGCGGCACAAACAAACCGCAAAAAGCGTGCGATCAAGCGACGGAATGAATGACCCAAAAACGGCTCCATGGAGGCGAACGGGCGCCAGGTGATGCTTGACTAAATCGAAAACATTCAAGCGAAGCTGCTAATCCGGCAGTAGGCAGCTTGCGACATGGTCTGAACGCCGAAAGCTTTCCACGAAAAGCAAACACGAACGCAATCGCGAGCCAAGAATAACCACCAGTTCTGACTGCGCCGGGGAGGCGAAGAGGAAAGCTCTGCGTCAGGGCGAACAAAAACGTGGCTATAACTGAGGAAATGCGACCAACGAGCCAGCATAACAAAGCAGAAGCTGCGGTTGCAGATCCCACATTTAACGTAGGACGTCAAACAATGTTACTGCAGTATTGCAGCATGTCTGCGATATATGCACACATACATATATACATATATATATATATATATATATATATATATATATATATATATATATCTATATCTACATCTATATATATATATATATATATATATATATATATATATATATATATATAGCAAAAGAGGTACGCAATTCGTTGAATGAAGACCGCACTAGTTTTGACTATAAAAGCTAACTGGTTACCATGTGCACGTGTTACAAAACCCCTCTTTAAAGATCTAGTCAGAAACCTTTACATCTAAGATAAGAGCTCACACTGAGAAGTGATAGTTTCGCGACTGCCCTGACCTCTACCATCCGATGGTGAAAGCCCAGGTCGACGGCGGAATTGAGTGGCGAAATTTAAACGGCGACTCGAACCCACCCCACCACGAGTAGGTGGAATGCAAGCGCTCTAACCAAATGAGCTATCGGGACGGACTAAGCGCGAAACCAAACGCTTTATGACGAGTGGCCAACAAAGCCAAAGTATGAATTACCGCACACAACACAACTTCTGCCTTATAAAGCTGGCTGCAGGAGGAAGCCTGGCACAGAGGCGGGCCACCAGAGCTGCTGGACGGCTGGGGAACGGGCGGCGAGCACGACTGGCCGGGCCAAGGCAGCCACCCCCGACCAAGCCGACCCAGCGTCAGGCGGCCGCCGAGCCATCCGCACGGTCCGGGGGAGTCACACCGCGGCACGGCACACCGGCCCGGGGGAGCCACACCGCGGCACGGCACACCGGCCCCGGGGAGCCACACCACGGCACGGCACACCGGCCCGGGGGAGCCACACCACGGCACGGCACACCGGTCCGACTGCGGCCGCCGCCCGCCACCCACCTCCCGTCCCCCACCAGCAGCCTAAGGCGGGTCAGGTACACGCCGTCCGAGCTGTGCCGGCCGGAGCCCGCGGAGAGGTAGCCTCCCCGTCAGGCTTCACGAAGGCGCGTGTAAGCCCACACGCCATGTGCGAAAGCATGTTGTGCATATGTACAGGGACAAGTGTGATGAATGCCTGTATAAAAAGCTTACACACGCAGGCCACACCTGAAGCGTCGTGTGTGCGTGAAGGAGATGCGAAGCCACATCGGCGGAAAAACAAACTGGGCGCTGCGCGGACCGTGTCAGGAGACTTCACCACCGGCACGTCCGCGCAAACGCAAGCAGCCTCCAACAGAGCCGAACACGAGCCCAGCGTCGCTGCGTGAGAGCCGCCCGGCCAGCAGCCAGTCTCGCGGCCGAGGACTCAGCACGGCCGGCAGCGGAGGGGTCGCCACCGCACCCTGGAGCCGCCGCCAGCGGTGCGGAGCCGGCGGCACTCACCGGCGCTGCGCTCCGGCCCGGCTCCTGCCGGCTCCCGCCGGGCCGGAGCCGCCGAGCCGCCGCCGTCGGCCCAGCCGAATATCTCGCACATGGACCGTCGACATGCGCATGGCTGAAACGCCGGGCCGGGCTCGGGTCAGCACGGCGGACGGGCCGGCGGCGGGCGGGAGCGTCACACGCGTCGTCAGCGGCAAACGGAGCGCCACGACACGCTCGGTCGGCGACGGCCGGTCCGCAGCAGCGTCACCAGGGCTCGACGCCAGGGCGGGGGGGGGACAACCTCTAGGACCCCAAACTGGTGCTCCGACTGGGGCAAAGCGGGTTGAAACGACAAGCCAGTGAAACGATAGACCAGTTGCTGGTGCCAGGCAAGCACCCATGTCTCGCAGGGTCATGCCTTCCCATTGGCGACGCAGCCCGGCGGCCCGGGCGACGGGGCCAAGCACCTGCCGACTGTCCCAGACACGGGACAGACGTCTGAGCGCGAGATCTGTCAGAACAATCTGTGCTTAGTCCCAGCTCAGCCTGGGCTGGAGCTCAGACTGCTCTTAAGGTCGTTAAGTTCTCAAACCCCTGGAACTGGCAGCGTGTGGTGCGGCCGCTCGTGACCTGGCCTTCACTTGCAACCAACGCCATTAATGCAAAATTGGACTGCTCACCGCCCAGAGGTGAGGTCACTTGTTACCGACGCTAGGCTACTACTTGTTACCGACGCTACGAAACACACTGCGTACGCATATAGATGAAACAAGTACGGGAAAGACGCACCCGCTTTCAGTAATGATACAGTCGGAGAATAAATGACAGCCGTGGATGCACGGCCAGCGATCACCGGGCCTGGAACTCTGGGCAGGTCATGACACGCGTTCCGCAGTCTGTCTCGTGCACGGCTCCGGCCCTTCCTCGAACCAATTGCGCCCGGTACATTCACATGCGGTTTCATGCAGCGCGCCCGTTCCGGCCCAGCGGCGCCCTTTCTCTCCCGCTCGCAGGCCGCGGTCGGGCCGGCCGCGTCCGTGTCTCACTCCCGTCTCCGCGCAGTCCAGCCGACCCAGCAGCTGACTCCCAGAGAGAGACACGCTGCCGCCGGCTCCAAGCCGAACAGCTACGTGAGTGCATCCAGGGAGAGGGACTTGTGCAGCATCACAATCCTGGCTCGGTGACGGTGCCAGCGTGGCCCGGCGGGGATGGGTGTACTGTACATTACACACCCCAGCACAGTGGCGGTGCCAGCGCAGCCAGTGAAGGGGGATGAACAGAGACAGCGTGACATCCGCGAACCAGTGGCGGTGTCAGTACAGGCGACATCACGTCCCAGGCCAGTAGTGGCGCCAGCACAGCCAGTTAAGAGGTCGCTCATGGGGGCCGCGGCAGCACGGGCGTGCCCGCCGCGCGGCCCCGACCCCCAGCCCCAGCGCAGGCCGCGTGCTCACCCTGGCCCTGCAGGCGTGCAGAGGCGTCCCCAGGGTGGCGGCGCAGCGGCGGCGGCGGCGGCGGGCAGGCGCTTACCGTCCGGCGAGTGCCGCTCGCCGGCGCCGTCGATCTGCGAGGCGGACGTCCATCTGGGGATGAGATGGGACGTGACCGGCGAGCCCGACCGCCGCCAGAACTCATCGTACCTACCGGCACCGGGCGGCAGCGGCGGCGTCAGCGGCGGCGGCGCACCGGCCGGGTCAGGCACGAGCCGACCGGCGGCGGCGACCGCACGGGCGGAGCGAACAAAACCGAGCGGTGACAATCAGCGTGGAAGGCCGGCTGGCTGCACACTGCGCGACAGACAGCGGTGCGTGAAAAACGGGCGGCGCACAAAAACAAATTAGTGCAATTACACACTCGTGCAGAAACAAGACAAGGGCCGTCGAACCTGATCAAAGACAAGCGCAACTAACAAATGGGGTCGTGTTACACGACATGCGGCGCTGCAAAGTCGTGTGGACAGTCTATCTGATATCCAGCACCACCGTCCTATGCACTTCACGCGTGCGCAGCCAAACGATTCCAAACCGGATGCGAACGAACCCTTTCCAATGGACTTCGAAACCAAAGAGAAACTGTTTCGCAACCTGTCAGCCGCCACAACGGTGCGAGAAACGGCATGCAGTCAGACACCAGCTCCACTCAGCACGCCGCGAACCGGCCTTTGAGCAGAAGCATGCCGCCGCGGCCCGTTCAGGAGCCGCACGCCAGGCGTCATGCACGCCTCGTGGCCGCTCCGCCACGGGCCACGTGCCCGCCGTCATGCACGCCTCGTGGCCGCTCCGCCACGGGCCACGTGCCCGCCGTCATGCGAGGCTCGTGGCCAGGCCGTCACGGGCCACGAGCGGCCGCGTGTGCGGCGCGGCCTCCAGCCGGGCCGCCGCCGACCGCTGCCGACCACCAGCGCTGCGCCCGGCGCCTGGCTTTGCCTGTAAGTCACCGGCGGTACACTAGGTAGAACCCCTTCGTCCTCTTAAGGCCCTCCCTGACCTTCCCACGCCTTGGGAGGGCACGGCGTCACGCTGCTGACCGATCCCCCGAGCCGCCGGAGAGCCCCAGCGCCCGGGGCTGGGGCCCTCCGGCGGCGGTGCTGGCGGACCGGCGCTGTGCTGACCTTTTGCCCATGTCGCCGGTCACCTCCCAGCGCGGCGTGGCGCTGCCGAAGCCCAACATGATTTGGCTGGTCTGGTGCTGGCGGCGCGTCTCCAGCATGGCCTCGCGCTCCTGGTTGCGGCGGGCGATGGCGGCGCGCCGCTCCGCCTCCGTCTCCTCCATCTGACGGCGGCGGTCCTCCACCTGGCCGACGGTCCGCCCACCCCTCAGGTCATGGGGGTCGTACAGGTGACGGCGCAGCGTGTCACACAGATCAGGGCGCAGGCGGTGTTCGGGCTACACGACTAGCGATCGGGTCAGAAGACCTGGGGATCGGGCCAAAAGGTGGATCAGGGTCGGAAGTCTGATCAGGTCAGAAGCGGGATCGGGTCGGAAGGCTGATCAGGTCAGAGGGTGGATCAAGTCGGAAGGCTGATCAGGTCAGAAGGGAGCGGGGAGGGGTCAGAAGGTGGATGGAGTCAGAAGGGGATGGGTCGGAGGGCTGATCAGGTCGAAGGGAGCGGGACCGGGTCAGAAGGGGGAAAGGGTCAGAAGGGGGTGAGTCAGAAGGGGATGGGTCAGAAGGTGGGTCGGGTCAGAAAGCTGACCGGGTCAGAAGGCTGGGGATCGGCTCAGCAGGCGAGGATCAGGTCACGAGACTAGCAATCGGATCAGAAGGCGGGGATAGGGTCAAAAGACTGGAGATCTAGTTCGACATCTAGGGATCGGGTTAAGACCGGGTCATAACGCCATATCACCAACAAACTGTTTGCATCAGTAGTCCATTAAGCCGGCGCGCAATTCGACCCTGCCAACATCTCCGCATGGATTTTAGGTCATAACAGAACAATGAGCCGCAATTAGTTTTTTGTCTCGCCTCACAGCTAAGCTCCGCACCGCATGAATCACGCCCATGCCCTTCCACTTTCTCCACCGGCAGAGAGCGGGGTGGCCTGCACAGCTGTTAGTCGCAGCAGAGCAGCACACAATGGCCAACCACGGCACGACCATTGAAAGCCCGGTCCAGTCGGACGCGGCGGCGAGGGACGCCACCGGGCGGGGTGCGATTAGTGGCGGAGCAGAGTTACCTAGTGACCTGGAGAGACCGCTGTCCCGGTCACACCGACGCCCGACGTCCGCCGGGAGGGGGGGGGGGGTGTCCCCGTGGCCCCCTCCCGACGCGGCACCCGCTCGGATTAACAGCCGCTGTCGGGCAACTGTCCCGGACTTCGCCCGGCTGGACGCGCTGGTCAGATACGTCACCGGCACTCGAACCTTGGCGTGCGCCGCTGTCCCAGCGGCCGTCTCGCGGCTCTCCTGCGTCCAGGATGCCTGTGACCCGTCGCCCCAGCGGTCTCGAGCTCCGTCCCTCCTGACTCCGTCGGCCGTCCCCTGTCTCCAGCCCAGCCGTGTCGGCCCCCCTCAGCCCCGGGCAGCCGGCCGCCCCACCTGTGAGCGTCGCTCCGTCTCGCGCAGACCCAGCTCCCGGTAGCGGCGGCGCCGCTCCTGCTCGGCCTGCTCCCGCTGCCGGACGTCCTGCTCCTCCTGACCGGCACGGCACACGAGCACGGCCGTCACAGGACGCTCGCGCGGCACAGCACACATGCACGCCGGCGCGCGCGCGTGCTGGCGCGCGCCGGCCACGGCGGCGCTGCCAGCTGAGGGTGGCGCGGTTAGCGGCAGAGCAAGCGAGGCGGGGACGGACCACTGACCACGGTGGGGAGGCGAGCGCCGGACCCCGGCGAGCGGCCGGGGCTGTAGTCGGACGCTATCCACGCAGACGGAGCCTGGTATGGTGAAACAGCGGTCAGACACACGCGGCGCGCAGGAACACACCAGGCGCGCCGAGCGGTGGCGCTCGGTTCGCGGACGGCGACGAGGCTGAGAGAGCGCGCGACGATCTCGAGCCGCCCCGTTGGCTACGCCTCGACGGCAAAATGACACACGACATACGGAGTCCCGTCAGAGACGATTGCCAGGCGCTGGTGAGCGCGGGCAGGAGGGCGCGGCGCGGCGCCGCGGACGTCAGCCAGCCGGGCCGGCCTCTCACCTGGCGGGCGAGCTCCTGCCGTCGCCGGTCAGCTTCGTCGCTCTGCAGCTGCTGGTACTGCCGCACTCGCTCCTCCCTCTCGCGGTGCGAGAGGCCAGTGGAGTCGGCGCCAGTGCCATCTGTCGGCGACACGGGCGGCTCCGTCACCGTCGGGCGGGCGCGCTCTCTCTCCGCGCACCGGCCGCGCCGCCGCTCCCACGCCGGTCACTGCGCCGCCGCCGTCGCACAGCCGTCACAGCCAACGCGCGCGGCCCACTAAGCGGCGCCTCTGCCGCCGCCGCACGCGGCGCGAGACGACGCGGCGCCACGCGGCCGGCGCGGCCTTGGGCCGGCGGCGGTGCGACGGTCTCCACGCGGTCCGCGCGGTGCCGGCGGCGGCGTACCGTTGCTGCGGCCGTGGCGGCCCGGCGCTGGGGCGGCGGCGGGGCGTCATGCGTCGGCGGCGACAGCGGTCCGTGACGGACCGCTCAGCGGTCCGCCGCCGCCACCGCAGCCGCCCCGGTGGCGCTGTCGCCCCCCCCCCCCCCCCTCCCCGCCCGTCCCGCCCCGACCCACTTCTTCCCATTCCTGTGTCGGTCCGAGTCGCGGGAACTCTTGCACTCCGCACGTTCCCTCCCGATTTCTGGACTCGATGGACCGGACTCTTTGAACCCTCTACCCTCCTTCTCAACCACAGCCGGTTTTTTTCGTCGGGGTAGCGGCGTCTTCAGGCCCTGACCGGGCAACAGGCGGACCTCTCAACCTTTCCGACCGTGCCGCACCTCTCCCCTCCGTTCCGCGGGCGGGTCCATCCACAGCGCCGTGCCATCAGCGCGGCACGTGCCGACCAGGGCCACACGGGCCACTGGAAGGTCGACGGCCCGGGAGAGCGCAGCACGCGAGGACGGGGCCGACGGCGCGCCGCCCGTCTTTCATCCAATCGCCGTGGATCGGGCGAGGTCACATGCCGCTCCACATCACGCCACACAGGGCGGGTCCGATCAGGAGCGAGCAGCAGCGACGACCCGAGACGCACCAACAGAACTCCTGGTTAGTAGCCACTCTGTCTGCTAGCGGGGCTAATCGGTGTTAAACGGCGGGGGTGGCGCGGGCTACAGCGGCGCATCCTGTGCACAGGCCATTGGCTATCCGAGCTGTTAGGTCAGGTTAGGCAGCAGACATCCAGACCGGCCTTACCTTCCCATGCTTTGCTGCCATCGATTCGAACGGTCCTTCGGCGCCACCCGAGCTGACATCGGAATTCCAATACGCACCAGCTGCGCATACGCGAGCATGAGCTAAGTTATGTGCACCTACTGAAGCGTCGCCCAAACTCCGCTAGCCGGTGCCGGCAGCAGCCTCCGAGGCGGGCGGGCTTGTTTGTGGATCTCTCTCTGTCTCTGTCTCTGTCTCTGTCCCTGTCCCTGTCCCTGTCCCTGTCCCTGTCCCTGTCCCTGTCCCTGTCCCTGTCCCTGTCCCTGTCCCTGTCCCTGTCCCTGTCCCTGTCCCTGTCCCTGTCCTGTCTCTGTCTCTGGCTCTGTCTCTGTCTCTGTCTCTGTCCTCTGTCTCTGTCTCTGTCTCTGTCTCTGTCTCTGTCTCTGTCTCGGTCTCTGTCTCTGTCTCTGTCTCTGTCTCTGTCTCTGTCTCTGTCTCTGTCTCTGTCTCTGTCTCTGTCTCTGTCTCTGTCCTGTCTCTGTCTCTGTCTCTGTCTCTGTCTCTGTCTCTGTCTCTGTCTCTGTCTCTGTCTCTGTCTCTGTCTCTGTCTCTGTCTCTGTCCTGTCTCTGCTCTGTCTCTGTCTCTGTCTCTGTCTCTGTCTCTGTCTCTGTCTCTGTCTCTGTCTCTGTCTCTGTCTCTGTCTCTGTCTCTTCTCTGTCTCTGTCTCTGTCTCCGTCTCCGTCTCCTCTCTCTCTCCTCTCTCTCTCTCTCTCTCTCTCTCTCCTCTCCTCTCTCCTCTCTCTCTCCCTCTCTCTCTTCTCTCTCTCCTCCTCTCCTCTCTCTCATCTCTCTCTCTCTCTCTCTCTCTCTCTCTCTCTCTCTTCTCTC